GGTCAACGGACCCCACCTCCCACACAGTGGCCACGATGTGCACACTGTCGAGCCGCTTTGGTGGCCAAACCTTTCCCGAATTGTAATCTTACATCGGTTGTGCGTTAATGCAGTACTTGGGCATTGTGCAGCTCGCCGAGTCAGGCTTAGCAGAGCTTATGTTGGATGATCCTCAGCTTTACATCACTTTCAATGTCTTTTCGTCGTTTCGTCCTTGCCTCTTCTTGCCAGTTTCCCTTTATTTTTCTGAAGCCACTCGCCGTTTCTTTCTGCCGTTACAGTCGCTGCTGTTTGCGCCTAACTCTCTCTGAACTCTCACTGAGCTGTGCGCCTCACAATGGATCTGATTGTGGCCGGATACAGGCGCCGCTGCGCGCAACACACACAGACACACACACGGAGAGGAGCGGAGCCGAGAGCGGCAGCGGTGTCGCCTCAGGAGCCGCACGCATCCGGTGGCTGCTCCGCTGTGGGAGAGCGCCACCCGACGGACGCTGCGCGTCTCTGGGGAGTCTCACCAGCCGAGGCGACCCGTGAATGCACCACTCTCTGTCGCTGAGTCATCGTCAATCGAGCGCCATTCACAAACAAACCCAGTCACCGGGCGGCGGCGGCGGCGCGGCGGTAAGAGGGCGGTCCAGTTCCGGTCACTCTTCCGATAAAGGATGTGGACGATGATGCTGTTTGATCTCGGGGAGCAGGTCCTTACTTAGATGCTTATCCAATTGCCCTTCCATGCCTTGTCTATCTTATGTCTGGCGTAAAGCTCCAACCATCTGTGCTTCAGCTTGATTCCTGGGCCAGGCAGGCGACAATGGCATTGTTGCTCTTTGGCCGCTTGAAACAGAGTAATGTTTCCGTTTAGCACTGGATCCACATTGTATGGTGCCTAACCCCTAATGGGCCGATGAATTTAATCGGTCTGTCTTCTCAAGTGTCGTACTGCCTTTATGGAAAGGGTTGAGCCCGTGCCATGGAGCTGGAGTCCAGCGATGGCGGCGGACCAACACAGCACGCCGTCACGGCTCGTGGCAGCCCCTCCTGCCACCACCACCTGTCTGGGGAGGGGAGAGGGGGAGAGAACTCCAGCTGCCGTTACCGGCGCCGGCAGTCGGCACCGGCAGCCGGGTCTCGCTCCATGCTTGTGACGTACTGGTCTAATGTGTGCGGCGTTTTTTTAGCACAGTATGTTTGTCCCTGGTGTGTGCGAATTATAGTGAGTCTGCAGGTAGTCGTGCAGGCAATCCACGATTCCCAACATTAGCCCGCCGGTTCACCCCTCCCTCCTTCCTTGCGCCTTCCTCGGTCAGAGTATTGCTTACATATGACTGCGCCCCTCAGCCCTCATGGGTGCCCACTCCGTCCCTCCACCGGAACTCCCACCACAGGCGGTCTGTCCGCGCCCGACGCACCTTTATCACAACACACATTCCGGCGCACGCTGATCACAATGCAGCCGCTCAGGGCACTGTGATAAATAGGGCTTTGTTCGATGGTGGTCGCTGTGGTGGTGATTGCCAGAGGCTGTATGGCCGACCCTCACGGGGAGCTGTCGATGGGGTGAGGGTCGCTGATTGTCCACGTCCGTTTTGTCGTTACGGTTGGGTACTGAAGGGTTCGGTTTCGTGTCTGTTGAAGCTGGGGTGGTATTGATTAATCGAGCTGTATTGTCACTGGTTGGCGCTGGCCCGGTTCTTTGTCGCTATGTGACGCTGGCTGGTGCTCGAGCTCGGCTTATGAAGCGATCCTGTTGATGAGCCGGTCCATTGAGGCCGTGGTGATGAGATGGAGCCGTCCAGAACGACCCCATCCTGGGAGCGGTCTCCGGGTTATTGTCGGACAATTAACCGTCTCATTTCGACACGGCGATTCCCCAGGCCAATTGTAGTGAACGTGCCCGTTCAGGGTCCCCTGACAATCTGAGGCAGTAACCGGGCGCCGACAGCCGAGTCCAATTTCGTGCAATCGCCGGCTCGGCGCCGGTGGAAATTGGTCCTAGTTACCGGTGGTAATCGTCCGAAGATGGTCTGCTCGCGGTCGGGCCAGACTCCTGTGAGGTGTGTGTACGGGAGGGGCGAGCTCTGCAGGTGATTCGGCTAACCACCGGCGCCAGGTGGGCCTCGTGCCAGCACCGACTCGGGGACTGTTGATTGAGTGGCAAACACGTCCCGCGTCTGAGGGATGGGTTCCGGAGATGGCCGATAGATCCGCCAGTGACGGACGGACGGCCGCCGATCTGTCGCCGCTGTCTGCCCTGTCAGCCGCGACTTGTGTTTGTGACGACCGTCCTCTGTGCCCGGCACGTGACGGGCGATGATGGACGTGACGTGTGACGTGACGTGTGACGTTCGTGACGCGTGGCGCCCCGACGGGTGACCCATCTGGTGAGCTGGCTCATCTCTTTATGACAGGTCACCGAGACGGCGGAATTTAAAGTCCACCCTATCGTGTGATGGGGCCACCCCACAAGTGGTCGCGTAAGCTCCACTCGAGTGCAGATCGCGGCGCGAGGCCGTGTGTCAGCCTTGTCCTCTGCAGTGAGGCGATAGGGACGGTACTCTGACCATCTCGGTCGGAACAGGACCGTAGCTGTCTATAGACGATAAATGACTCACTGTCAGCTATATATCACAGTGGGAACACACGGTAGATTGAAACTCATCGGCCTTTAAATTCAAGGCGTGCCTTATAAGGAGGACCATTACACGGGAGACGATAAGCAGAAGCAGAGAGCCTGGTCGCGGCTATCTCCAAGCCCGTCTCCTCTATCTCCGAGGCTGCCTCGTGTCGCTCCCGACCCCGCCTCGTTTCATTGAGTTGACAGGGACCAATTAGCGCGCCGGTCGATCCCATTCAGCGCGATCGGTGGCTGTTTTCCGTGCCGATCGTCGTGCCCCGGCCTTCAGAGGGTGATTGGGATCACATGGTCCCGACACCAGGGTCACAGTAGCACCGTATCGGCCGTCCGCCGGCGGCCGGCGGTGTCTCACGCCAGTCCGGCGCCGGCACCGCGCCAATCGCGGCGCTATCGCGGCGCATCCGGCGCTAATGAGCCGCGTCGGACGAACCCGGCGCGGAGGTGACGAGAGGTGGCGCGCCGGCGACGCCCACGCGAGTCTGATTTCGAACGCCGCCGGCCCGGAGCACCGCGATGACGGGAGATGCGAAGGCGGTGAAGGTGGTTGGAGGTGATGGTGCGCGTACGGTGACCTAAGGTCAGCCTATAGGTCACACTCAGATCACTCGCCCTGAGGTCATGGTCTGAGAACAGCACCAGAGCCGATACCAGAGACACGCTAGAGTGATTCAAGTTCTAAGGTCACTGTCGAACCAGAACGACCGTTTTGATGCTCCATAGGTTACGACACCGTGAGGTAACTGTCGGTTTCAACCAGCAGCACAAAACGTCATACAGCTCCCTGTGATCCAGCCTTTTCACGTTGCCTGCCTTCTAATCTGGGTCGATGGGACCGTAAATGTTTTGCTTCAGACCGTGATCGTAATTGCAGCCGTTTCTGGTCCGTACCGCTCCGTTCTTTCGGTAAACTCGGCAGTCTGGTGCGCTCGTTGCGGTTGACAGCGTGACTGGTCTTGGGCCGCCAGGTCGAACCGTGCAGCCGACCCGAACCGTACCGTGCCGCTCTCCTCCCGCTTCGATAGACCCCTGCGAACGGTACCCACCGACACGAAAGGGCTCGGAGGCTGTCGTGCCGTCGAATCCGCGTGTCGAGTCGTGGCAGACGGGCCTCAGTTCCCGACCAAGGTCGAAGCTCGTGAACGGCACCTGGCCGAACTCAATAGACACGATAGGCTGGTAAGCTGTCACTTATAAAACTGTGGTCGTCCGTGTGTGCGGAGCGGAGCACCATCGCGTCTTTGTTCTATTTCCTCCGCGTCACTTCTTCGCACGCTGGCTTACCCCTTCACTTTTTCTTTCCCACTTATCCGCCTCATCACTTCTCCGCATTAAACGCTTCAATTTTGCGTGACATATCTAAGTGAAGATGAAGTCTGAGTTTGATGAAGCAGAAGGGCGGAGGAGGCCGCGGCTCCGAACAGCAACGAAGGTCGCTTCTGGGGACCGGTTTTTTGACGCCTGGTCTGTTTGTCACCCGTTCGGTCACGGACCAGCGCAAAGTTCAGCTCTCAGCGTTCTGTGTTTATGAATCAACTCGCTTCAGTTTAACGTCGGACGAACGGCTGCACTGATTTCAGCGAATCGCCTCCCTTCGAGACACACACGTGTTTCTCTGTAGACACGTGCATCCGACGAGCTGGTGTGGTGCATGCTATATAAGGCAATGGTGTACTGTCCGTATAGCGAGAAGTTGCAAGGCCCTTGCAAGACTGTCAATCACAAAAGGCATCGACTTTTTCTGATCAAGTGAGACGTATTTATGAACTTATTGCACCAGTAAACGAGTTAAAACCTCCCTTGATTACTATCGGAAGTCCCAGACAGTAGCCATATGGTATTCCAGACGTCCGGTCTTGATCTTCTAACAGTAACAAGGAGCTACCGAACTCGATTTTAGGTCACATTAGATACTGACTACTGTACAAACATGACCTTTGGAATTAGACTTTGTTTCGTCTCGTAACACTAGCCTGGATCCACCAGCCTTTGAGCGGGTCGCTCTGTCACTTAGCTGATGACCTTTCAGATGGTCGCTGGCCTTCGTGTGCCCTTTAGTTTCTCCCACCGTTTGCAGCGAGCAATCTCACTTTGATCATGGGTTCCATGCATCTCCGGTGGCTATCGACGCTGTCTCACCAAATTTAGCTACAACACTCGGCGACTCAGCGGTCACAGTCCTGGAGGCCCAACTGGTTCGGAGAACAGACGAGGTGTACCGTACGGCCCGCCGGTGGGAACGTTCCTCCTGACCTGACCCCGGGAGGCTGAGCCGTCTGTCGCCGCACCGACATGCTGACCAGGCTCCTGGGGTCGTGGCGGATGTTTGAGAATGTCACGGCCAGGTCAGCTGGTGTCTGTCCTTGTCAGACGTCAGAGAGATGGCCAGCGTGAGAGTTCTGGGCTGTGAGGAGTCGCCGGCAGTCGTCATGGTGAGGTGGTTCTGCTGTGACGTCCCATTGCCGATGACAAGCTCGACGACGTGAGAAGTGATTCGTTGGTGCTGGACATTATCATCTCGACCAGACGCAGGGGCTTAACCTCCGTTGCAATTGCCGGCGATTGGCATTGCTCGTGGCGTCGCCGGAGTTCTGGCTCTGCGTTCGATGACGCTACTTCAGGTGTTGAGACTGGCGCTGGTGGTTCGTCGACTGCGACGGGCGGTGTTGGCCCGCCGTCGGGTCGGTCGCGGATGTCGGCATACCCGGGCCCTGTCGCTACAGTCGGAACCGGGTCAGATTTCTGCAGATCAGCCCACTCAGATACGTCGTCGCTGCCTGTCCTCACCAGCGGTTCTGACTCTCTCCTGCCAACCAGCGAGGTGACACAACGACTGAGGTGTTCGGTGATAGCCCCTCCGTGCTGCGCACAAGATGAACTACCGGTGTTAAGTCCCAAATGTGCGTCGTGATAAGTGCTTGTTCCTAGGAGATTACAGCAAAAGTGAACATTTCTGATCAGCTGCCTGTCGAGGTAATAGACAGATCTCTTGTTATAACCGTGTTGGATGCTTGTTGGATGAGTGGAACCTGTTTGCGGCGATCTCACGACGACGAGACGTGCTGAACAACAAGCTCTGCAGCATTTCCTGCGAACACCTCGACATTGCGGTGGTGGTATGTGAAGTGTTGCAGGAAAAATGTGGGGATGCCATCGGTACCCGTTTAGGTGCACATTAGGGTAAAAATGTTACTGGCATCATTTAACCGGCATTTACTACATCTTTAAGTCTGACTTACTGAAGACCGGCAATGGGCAATGAAGTCCTAGCTCTCTTCCGAATGGACATTTATAGCCACCAAGCCCAATTGATGCCGGATTTGCATCACTTTACCGTCATCCGCATCCTGATGGTAAGTGAAGATGGGCTGCAGCAACATGCTTACACCATGCATGACATCCGTGGAGTTTTAGCAACATTGCTGTGGACCTCCCAGCAGCCATTCCAACTTTGCACTTATTGCTGTCTGCTGGCATTATTTATTATTTCCGCTGCTCGAACGAAGTTCTGCAGTCTGCAGCGACGGTTTTCGGCTCGACTCGGTCGGACGGTCGATATGGCAGTTTCTGGCCACAGCGACAGCCGCGCCGCTGGGAACCCGGGTCGATACTTGGGTGGCAGGGTCGATACGCGACATGGTCCTCGTTCTCTGTACTGGAGACAGCCCCATGAGTCGCCGGCTACGACTAACCCCGCCGTGTTCCGGCCGTCGTGTCAGCGCGTCGCCAGTCCCCACACCTGGACATTCCGCGATACATGTTCAGGGAGCAGTTTTCGTGTGTCACCTGGTGTGTGGCACATGGCACGAGCAGTACATACCTGGCTGGAAGTGGAGGGGTGGTGTATAGGGTTGGCACTTGGAGGGACACGAGTGGCTGCCTGCCTCCATGTTCTGTAGACACGCGCCACGTGACACAGAAGGGGGCCGAGAGGGGCGGGCAGGGACAGGGAATTTATGACCGAGCACGCAGGCAGCGGACCGTGATGACGCCCTGTGGCGGCAGCTGTTTGTCGCCTGCTCGTGCAACGGCACGCGCCACTGCGGCCGTGTCACGCAACGGCGACTATCACGAGCGCCAAATTAGAATAGGGGAGAAAGTGGTTACAATTGCAGGATTGCACGAAAAGGTTAACTGTCGGATACCTATATTGAAAATGAAATAAAAGTAAAAGGAGAAAAAATAAACAGCTCGATCAAATTATGACGTGTAGCTACGTAGCATTATGTTGTTGAAATATAGTTGGTGCAATTCTAAGTTGATGCACTCTGTCTGTTTACAGATACAGATACAGATACAGATAGTTTATTCGGATCCTCCATAAGATGGATTTTCTGGTACCCACGTCAGTTACATAATATGCAAAAGTACACCACAATGCTACAATAAAACAGTTAAAATAGATCATACCTATTACATCATAAAATGTCGACTCCGTACGCTACCAATGTATCACATGAAACTGAGTCACATGTGGCTATTCCAAGTGCTAGCTGCACGGTAGAAAAAGCCGCGTCGGGCAAACGTGTCGAATGTTCGAAGAATAATCTGAATCTAGGAACTGCGAGTCGTCAGCATACATAACTAGCTTTCCAAATGGTATATGCTGGGGCAGGTCGTTTGTTAGCAGCAAAAATAAGATGTTTGCTTGGTTGTTGTGTGCTGCTCCACGATAACCTTGCCTTCTCTTTTTCTCAGATGTCGCCGAACGTTCAGGAGAAGTCGGAGGACGCCTGCACCCTGAAGAAGGGCGTCATCTGGTACTGCAAGGACACCCTGCTCAGCCGCTGGAACTGGAAAGAGCGCTACTTTATCCTGACCAAGGACTATCTCTCCTGCTTCAAGAAGGCCAAGAGCCAATATTCGGATATGGGCGGCTTTCTGTTCAAGGTAAGTCGGTACAATATGTGTCGGATGCCATGAGGACGGCGACATTAGAGTCGGCAGACGTTTTAGGGGCTGCACATATTCGGCGGTCGTGTGCCCGGCTATCACCCCCGGCCAGGGGTGTTGGCGCCTGTGTCGCGTGCTGGACGAGAGCCGTGTCGTGCCGCACCATTACAGACGACCGTGGGACGGCGCCTGCAGAGCCGAAAAACGCTTGCAAAATATGGGAACCGCCGCAACTCCGGGCAACGGCAGGACCAGCGCATGGAAGGCGCTGAGTCACTGTCAACATATTCTGTTTTCGTCACGGCCGTAGAGATTGGGAAGGGAACACATTCAGTTACTGAATTCCTTGCATCTGCCTTTTTCTATTGATGTATTTAGCTGTCACTTTCGTCTGCGATGTTTGTCTCGCGTTATATCCCGTTCCCGGCTGTTATTCTCCGAACAGCTCAACGCCTTGCGATCATGACTCTCCGCTCATCCGGCTATCAACATGTGTAATTGCCACCTTTTTGTGTCGTTTCGAGCCGGTTTCTCGGCCTGACCGTCCCATCTGGCGCAGTCCAATCGCACAAGGTCACACAGACACATACCTGGCCGATCGCGCTGAGTGTCCCGGTACCGAACAATGCAGCCAGCCGGACGGCACCAAGATGTCAGGCGTAATTAAACCTATGCGGGCTCTGCATGCTGTATGTGTCATGTATGGCTCGGCTCGTGCCGTATAATGAAGTCGGCTCAAGATTAGGTGCAGGTGGTGTAGATGCATTTATAATGCTGCGTATTACCGGGAATGGCTGCTTATGCCCTGTTTCACCGGTATTTTTGGGCAAACAATATGTTTGTTAAATGTTAGATCGATATTATAGGAGATAGGATATGCATTCAGTGCCATGTCTATTGGTTTTGGTATGCAAAGACCGTGAGGATAAGAAAAGCATATGTGCATGAGTATTGAGTAATCACTTCGAAAACGTGGCAGACGGCTGTTCTTCCTTCCTCCCGACATTTTAGCGGTTCATATCGTATCTATGTCTACGAGGCGCTATCCTCAAACAGCTTGCTTGTACCCCGCGGCCATAGCTCGCTTCCTCTCGAATTACACAACAGGCAGCTTTCACACGCCAGGGCGGTAAAGTGAGAGAAACCCGACTGATATCGTACCCTCTGCTCTCTGAGGCGTCCAACGAGGCGGGGATGTGACCGATAGGGCCCATTCCAGCCGCGATCCCTCCCGTTCAGAGCGCTCCGTGGCCTCAGGCTGTAATCACCCGGCCGTTTCCTGTGACCTCTGTGACCCGAGGTCGGCGGTCGCTCGCCGACGGCAGGTGTCCGTTTCCTGTCACGATCCTGAGGCACCTGCCGGCTCGAGGATCGTAAAAGATTTGGTTGCACCTGGACTACCGTGCTGGTAAACTTTCGGAGTAACGTGGACCAGAAGTCAACTCCCATTAGAACTGCCTTCTCAGCATATCCCTTTGTGCCATCTGTTGTCATTTGCCAAGTTTTATATTTTTGAAGATAGTGCGCAAAGCTTAGGGTTATTTCTTTACGCTATCTTTACTTATTGGAAATCATCCTAACTTGTCTCACTTCTCCGCACAGCCCCAAACTGTCCCACTGACTGTTGTTTTGACCTCCGGCAGCTGCCACTGGCCTCACTGTGCGGTGTCGAGTGGGACCGCCTGAGGGGCACCTCCACCGTGGCCATCATCGACCCGAAGGAGGGTCGCCTGCTCATCCGCTCCACCCAGGACGTGCTGAACCAGTGGTATAAGGTGAGTCTCGGACGTCATCATCAGGGGACGGGTGACCGTTTGGAGAGGAACGAGTGTGTTCCTGGTTTTATATCGACCCCCCACTGTCCCACTCTTGTACATCAAACCCATCTTATCCGGGGACGGATTTCTTCGGACAATGGTCGGTCTTTTAAATACCCGAGTAGGTATCGATATTCTTAGCTGTTGGGAAACCGATAGGGTCAAACTTTAGTTTTCGGATGCGTTGAACCCCGTCCTAACTATTTTGCCCTTCGAGTTTCGATTGATGACCAGATCCATCAGACCTGAATCCCCGGTGGTCCGTGTTTCTCGCTCACGTCGATCTCGCCGCTAAACAGCCGACATTAGCGGGCTAAAGACGGCCATCAGAGCTTCCCGAGCACCTGGGCCCGCTTCGTTTATCATCATTTCTAACAATTTGTGGATAATTTATCCAATCGATTTGTGTGGTCGCGTTTGGAGCAAGACCCGCGGAGATCCTCTGGGGTGTCCTTAGGGTGCTCGGCTGCTTCCGGAGCGTTTTTGAGCGATTGTCTCATTCCGGGGTGTCCATGGGTGCCGGCTCCATTTTTGGACGTGAATGGACATCGGTACCTACTTTTCTTGGACGCAAATGGGCGCCGACTTTTCTGCCAATTCCCCGTTGGATCAGACTCGCCACTCAGCTTTCCACTGCTGGTCGCCGGTCGGTCCTTGGTCAGTTTTGGTCGCCGGTCGCCGGTCAGTCGGTGGTCACTTGTCAGTTTCCGGGGCGACTGTCGGTTCCCAGAGCCAGTGCCGATCGGACGCCGCGGGCGGCGTGGGCTGCGACCTTCCTGACAGCGCGGACGCCGGCGTCCCAGACGGCCCCGTCGTGCACCACTGGACCGGAAGGGCTCTGTTTCCGGCTGAACAGCTAGCGTGCTGGGCAGAGAACAGCGCTTTTGGAAACCCGAGACGAATATGATCCTCACAGCGACTGCACAGTGCGTTTATATTGAAATGTTCAGTTAATTTTCGGCCAATTCATGTTACTTCAATTACGTAAAGGCCGGATCATCAGCAAATGATTCAGTAAATCATTCCTTTTGGCAATCAGAAACCAGTTATGTGAAACTACAAATTACAATGACCATTTCTGGAAGTTATTCTTTGAAACACCATTATGGCCTCTACCCCTATATTGGTGACAGACGCTGCATAACCAATCAGTCCATTAACCACGTTCCAGCTCATTACCTCAAGATGCCTCAGGCCCCCGAGTAACCGACCGAATGCGTAGTGTCCATGAGCTTTGGCGCCGAGTTCCAAGGCTGAAGCCGACTGTTTCGCCAGAGGTGGTCGGGTGCCTCGACGGTAAAAACGAGCCGGCTCTCGACAGAATGTGTAATCACCGTGGATATGAGGCGTCAGGGAAAGGAGTGTGACGAAGCGCGCAGTGGGAGGCCCATCCGGCGAGTGTTGCGTGCTGGTTGGCGTGAGGAACTGTTGGTTTTATTGTGGGTGAGAATTGGGCCATGGGCATGTGCGCGTTGGTGTTGGTGGAAGAGCATCAGACCAGCTGAATTCTTTAAACTTTTAAATAAGTTTGGGGTGGAAGAGCAACAGACCAGCTGAATTCTTTAAACTTTTAAATAAGTTTGGGGCTATTTTTGTGTGCGGCCTGGTCAGTCAGGCAAGATGTTAACCATGGTGACAGGACCGGAAATTGATTTTCTTCGTAATGAAATTCAAAGCTGGTAGCCAAACTTTTCTACAGAGAATTTGGAATTTGGATAGAAAATGGGACGCCGGACGTCGGCAACAGAAGTTTGCAGTACAATACAATTCATGAGTCTGAGCAAGGGAATGTGGGGGCGGTCAGGTTGATTGTGGACCCAACTCCATCTTCATGGGTTTCGAACTTTGCTCTTTCAAGCCAACGTGTTTCGGTAGCGGCGACTGTTTGGCCAATGTCAATTTTCCTCCGTCTCTGAGAAAAGTGCGTGGGCTGAACCAGTCTCGCCGTCTGACTCACCATGGACCGAGATGGGGCCAATTTTCCTTCGGCTTTATCTCGATTCCAGTCCATTTGCACGTTTCCAAGCGTTTGCACGGTATCATGCAGACATCTGTCTTCCCTTGCTGTTCTCTGCACAAATTACCGGCTCTGTGCACCCGCTGGTCACCTACCAACTTCTTCCTGGATCATGGCGAGCATCGGTTGTATTTTCAACCAGCCAACCCCCGCCCGTCAGCATGTCTGTCCTGTCGGCCATTTCCAAACCCAGTCTCCCAACCACAGCTGTCTGTCCTGCCGGTCCGGTCATTTGTTTGGTGGTAATGAGCGGCCTTTGGTCGGCCGTTGCTGCAGCGAACCGTTGGGAGCCTCACCGGTCACTGTCAGTGCTCACCCTGTGACCTCTCCGTGACCTGAACCCCGCCGAAGGCACCGCTCAAAACGGTGGCAGGTGGCGGGCGTCTGTTCGACCGTGTGTGGCCGGTGTGAGTAGCCTCATCCCGCGGTGTGAACAGGTTATAAACCGGTCTGATTGGCTCATCTTAGGGGCGACCACCGTCGTTCTACGCCTCATCTGCTGTCTTTGTCTCGTCTGGTCAAATTAGCGTCACAGGCGCTCAAACTCGCTGTCAATAAGATCACCCGCGTTATTGAACATGACTGGCGCCGCCCGGGTGACCCCGTTGACCCGGCACGTCTTGTGTTGGCCCGCACCGCTCCGGGGCAGCCTCGCGGTGTCGCCGGGCGTTTCTAGGTTCTTTGTGCGGGCCTTCATTAGCGACTCCATTGGCGGGTGTCATCTGGCGGTGCCAGCCACGGAGGCGATCGGTCTTCTGCCGAACGGTGGCCACATTGTTCGCGAGCCTGTGCAGAGGCATTGGCGGACGGTACGGGCGGTGGGGGCGGCGTAATGGCTGACGGGACGGGGCGGGGAGGGGATGACGTCACGAATACACCTGACCTGCCGCCTTCTTTTATAGGGGCTCCTTTGCTCGGTTGCTCAAGGCTGAAATGCAACGGCCGTTTTGTCTTTTGAAAGCTGAAAGTGATAGATTTGCCATTTAGCGGTAGTTTGTTTAGATGTATCGCCAAAATTGTAGCGTCGATGTGGTATTTAACCGCACATATGTTTATATGGTGATTTGCCTAAAACGGCAATTCTGTCAGCTAAAGGCCACATCGCGGCACATCACAAGTCGCCTGCAGCCCTCGCCCGTTCCTGCTGCGCCCCAGAGCTGGCCGTACACGCTGGGACTGCAGTTTCTGTGCTCTCTGCAGCCGTCAGCAAACTCAGTGCGTGTAGCGGCCGCGTGTGCCGGTCGCTATCGGCCAGCTCGAGAACCACGCGCTGTGCTTATCTGTGGTCCACCGTCCGTCGTCGCCACTGGCTTGTGTCAACGTGGTGGATTTGGGACACGTCCTCAGCGCTGGCGTCATCCCGTGGACCCGGCGCGTGTATCGCGGTACAGATCGACAGGAATTCCGGCGGGCTGCTGCGCGAAATTTCCGTCATGAGTCTGACGCATCCGGGAGCGTGAAAGAAGTGCAGAAAAAGATGCATTTTATTCCATATCTTTAATATAAATAATACCTGTAGGATGAAGGGAAATTTAAAGTGAGGCTTCATTGGGCATGTCTTTGAGATAAGTGTTTCGACTAATTACTACCAACAACTTTTAAATGAAATGAAATGAGATGAAAGAAGTTCGCCCATTCCACACTGAAAAAACTTACTCCGCATTTTCTAATTTTAGAATGCCAAAAAGCACTCCTGCAATCGAATAATTTTATGACCTGGCATAAGCGCCTAAAATGGGGAGTTTTGGGGAATAAAACTAGCATATAGAATATATTTAGTATCCGAACGCTTATATTATTCGTGTTAGGGAGTAATTTTATGGCGGAGGATAAAAGTATGCTATCTTTGGATAAAATTACACCAGATGATAATTTTATTAACTTAACACTTAAATTACTCCCATTCAGGGAATAATATTGCCATGCCAAAAAGCACTCCTTTTTTCGATAATTTTACCCCGGAGTAACTCCCCGGTAAAATCAAGCCCCGGTGTAAAAGTACCACCCCTGATAATGCGGGGTGATGTGATAATATTATGACCAAGTGTAAAATAAGGAATGCATTTAAACAATGTATTGAAACACCAACAATTGATTAACGAATGGTACCTGAGCATCAGCAGGTACATCTTAGTTTGGACGCACTTCCAGTGATGGCGCATTGCGGCCGACAGGGACGTAATTTTGCTTCCTAGTTGAGAAGCGGCGTCTCAACTGGGAGGCAAAACTTCGTCTCTGCCGGCCGCAATGCGAAATCACTGGAAGGACGTTCAAGGTCACAACTCACAAGGGCGTTATGGTTAACATAACACTGAGGCTAACGAATAACATCTGCGCACAGAACCACCGCCACGGATGGCAGATAAAACGAGCGTGTATGGTTAACACTGAGGCTAACGAATAACATCTGCGCACAGAACCACCGCCACGGATGGCAGATAAAACGAGCGTGTATGGTTAACACTGAGGCTAACGAATAACATCTGCGCACAGAACCACCGCCACGGATGGCGTATAAAACGAGCGTGATCTGGGCTATGAAAGACGTACTGAGACTCATTGGCGTACTGAGACCGCCGCAGCTGAAATAGTCATAATACAGAGGCTCCAGTAGTGTGAGCCACACGTTGCGAATCACTTGAGCCACAGGTGAGCCACAAGTCACGAGTCACTTGAACCACAGGTGAGCCACAGGTCGCCAGTCATTCGAAGTGGGCATCTCCGATGCTGGTTCTACACTACCTGGGTAGCCTCCCACACCTTCTGTGATAAGCCAGATAGGTTTACATCGAATCCCACACTCCGGTAAAGAATCTCGAACAGGGCCCTGCAGGGCCCCGTGAACTTTGTGTAGAAGACAGCGTGGGCGGCCGTCATTAGGGCCACGGTCTCCAACCTAGTGGCCGGCAGTTGGCAGACCACCACACCGTCCACCGATAGT